TTTTCAGCAGGGTGAGAAACTAAAAAGGTTTTTGGTATTTTAAAATGGTCAGAAGTTATATTAAGCCATTTAAACCGCGACGCAAACATGCGTTTAACTAACGGACACATCTTTCCAAGAAAAAGTAGCTCACTCTGTGTTAAATAAATAAGACAACTTTATTTCTAAGTTACTAACTCTTAAATAGTTTTTAACGTTTAAAACATCTTGTTTTGTACAAAATATGTTTTTAAAAAAAAAAATTTTTTTTTCATTTCCAGCCATGCACATGAATATTCCGTTAATAATCAGAATTTGTCAATATTCAGATTAGTATGGAGTCACATATTAAACACCACAATCTGATTGCCTGATTCAGTTTAAGACAATATTTTAATTCTCAAAAATCTGTTTCCCACTCCTTGAATTAAGCCTGTTTTAATGAGAAACGTGTTTGCATGTAAACACCTTATTCAGAAAATCCACTGAAAGGAGATTCACATGCTCAGACCACGAATAATTATGAGCGATTACATGCTTAGCTGTAGGTATTAAGAATTGGAAACTCATTTCTGATGCACATACTGCATAACCAATGGCAGCATCTGGACTCTCTTTGGAAATCTTTTGGACAATAGCAAGAAATTAAATGTGCATGTGTAGATCAGCAGACCTAAAACTACCGTATTTAAGCATATAAACATCATATTCAGAATATGAGCGCAACCAGAATATGGTGCAGATTTAAATGCCCCATTCACTGAATCATGTGGCTGTGACGCTGTTTTATAGGCTGGAACTGAAGAATAGAGAAGAACAGATCAGACTATTGCATAGTAGATCACAGTCCATGCTGCCGTAGACTATCTAGCATCTGTTCTTCAGGACAGATCGGAGATGCAGTGTCGCTCCCACAGCTGCAGTTCAGTCCCCTCGGCACACACCAGCAGATACGACTCACTCCTCACCTGCGGCATCCACACCTGTCAATCAAACACCACGCATGTTTACCAGACGACTCACTGATGGACACAGTTACTACTGGTTAAATATAGGAAATCTCTGCTTCCCTTTTGTCTCTCGCGTTGCGTGAAACGCTATGGGGGAACTCCTGTTTACTCTGAATACTGAAGCCTGCTTTGTTCACGTTCGTGTAGCTGCACAAACAAATGTAAAGTTGCCCTCAAACCAAGACATCCGTTCAGAGCACAAGTCATCACCCTTCTAGATCTTCCTAATTCAGAGGACGAGCAGGGTCCTAATTTATACCTTATTTATAGCACGGCACTAACAAGTATAGTATTGGATATGTTCCCCATAGCATTTTACGCAACGTGAGAGACCGTTATCTCAGGGAACCGAGGTTATGATAGCAACCGAGCGCTCTGTGTCTGACTTTCTTTATTTTACAGTATGATAGAATTATTACAATAAATTTCTTATTTTGCTCAATATTTTTATTTTGTAATAATCACACTGAAAAACATCATAATTTTATATTTTATAGTCATACTGAATTGGTCAAGGGAATGTGGCCTTTGAAAAATAAATAAAGTTGAAAGAGATATTTTTATAACTCTTTCTACTTTATGGTCACTGAAAGAGGTTTGATATGGTTCTTGTAAAAAGTAAACCCAAATATTTCCTAAATTATTCTCAAAAGTCTTCAGGGTGCAGCAGACAAAGCAAGTCATTTTTGCTTTTTTTTAAATTATTTTTTTATTTTATTTTCTATGCAAATGCACAGATTATAATTATTTCCAAATATAGTTATTATTTACAAATATGGTCATTCAAATTATCTGTTAAAAATTCAAGCCATCTGTTTTTTCCCGTACTGCAATATATATCACAGATAAACAAATATTGCAATGTCAGTTTTCCAATTTATTTTCTAATATTGTGCAACCCTAGTCCATACTGTCACATTTACATTTAGCACATGCTTTTATAAAAAGGAAGAAAAACGCTGAATGCAAACAATGAAATGTGAATGATTATTTGCTTGCAATCAGGATAGCAAAATAGAGTATAATGGAAGAGGACATATAAAAAGAGACTGTTTTTATCCAAAGTGACTTGTGACAGAGCCACAATATGCACAATGCCGCGTTTATTAGAAAGCTAGACTAGGAAACCATTTCAAAGGCTAAAACAATTAAATTAAAAAGCTATTTTGATTTAAAATTCTATTTTGATTTTGAAATTAAACTCAGTCTAGCTGTAGCTCGTGCATGTAAGCACTAAGCGAGGTGCACTCACCCTGTTGAAGAGCAGCAGGTGGCGGTGCAGCGGCGTCACGAGCGGGTAATGGCAGGCAGGGGGCATCGCCGATCTCTACAAACATCAGGTTTGTCAATCAGCTTTCAGTGGACAATGCAACTGACACTTGTGGACATGATGCACACGGATCATAACACAATAATAGATAAAGGTGACACGCAGCCATGACAGATGCAATGCTAAAGGTGCTAAGAGAGGCTTACGTCCCGCGCGGAGTCCAGACAGCGCAGCGGCCAACACACACACAGCTCTGTGACTGGAGGAGAAACAGGTGTTAGATCGGCCTCTGCCACTGCCAACACACACACACACACTCACACACTCACACACGGACACAAGCGACCTGCACACACCTCAAACAGCAGCCCGTCTCCAGACAGAATTACCAGAGCATCCCACTGCGTCAGGTCAGCGCTCCTCACCAGATCCCGCGCATGATTCTGACGCTCTGTAGGATC